ATGCCATGGTGAAAGTTTGAGCAAAACATGCTAACTGTTCTGTCTTTGGCTTCACAGACGAGCACAGAACACGGTTTAGAGTCCCAGCCTCAGAGGAGACAAGAGAGAAGTGGATTTATTGAGTTATTTACTGTATATTGCTGCTGCCACACAGATCTAAAATAAACATGTTATTTATTTCCCAGCTGTGGTTACCAGTTCTAATGCCATGGTGAAAGTTTGATCAAAACATGCTAACTGTTCTGTCTTTGGCTTCACAGACGAGCACAGAACACGGTTTAGAGTCCCAGCCTCAGAGGAGACAAGAGAGAAGTGGATTTATTGAGTTATTTACTGTATATTGCTGCTGCCACACAGATCTAAAATAAACATGTTATTTATTTCCCAGCTGTTTACCTTCACAGACATAACTGACTGTTTTTGTAACTCGTGTGTTTTTAGAGTAAACTTGTGTGCGAATGAGAACTTAGTTTAGTACTCGCATGTGGTGACAGCCGCTTTCTGTCCGTGTGCTTCAGATGTGCGTTCTCAGAAAACCATATATCAGAAGTTTAAACTCATATGGCTTAAAACGCATGATTTCAGTGCGATAAACATGATAATCAGAACCAAAACAGATGCTTTTAGCAGGTCCGAGCTGTAATGGCAGCTCTATTCTGGAAAAGGGGGCGGGGAACAGCAGCTCATTTGCATTTAAAGAAACAGGCCCGAAAAACAGCTCGTTTCTGCTTCCACTCAAAATAGGCATTTTCTAAATTATATAATAAATGATCCGGGGAGTATTTTGAGCTGAAACTTCACAGACACATTCTGCGGACACCAGAGACTTATTTTACATATTGTAAAAAGGGGCATAATATGTCACCTTTAATAATCACTGGAGGTTAAAATAACCAACAGTGGCTGGGGAAGAAATTGTTGTTTACAGCAGCGACTAATTTAAGCGCTTGATAAAAAAAATATTTGATGCTGAAAGGTCAACTCATCCAAGCAGGTTCAAAACAGTGTGTCTAGAGGTTAAAAACATGGCAATATAATCTGAAAAGAAAATCGCAGCTTGCACATGTGAGACAAACTATCAACAGATTTCAAAAGGACAAAGACATTGTGTTGGATTGTGCTACTTAAAGACACACAAAGAAAAACCTCCTGACCTGAAATTTGTTTGCTGACATCGTCTTGGCTATGATTTTTGTGGTTCAGATAACTATTCACTTCTAACTAACATATATTCCAATTTTGTTTTAAAAATCATCATTTACTAGTACTTAATCTGTAGTTTCCTCTCTTAGTTCTTCTAAATATAGCAAATAGACTCTAGTCCAGTTACTGAATAGACACCGGTTGCATATTTATTAAACACTACTGTGTCATTCTAGATCCTTGTAGTAATATTTTAAATAAACTTACTCTTAAGATTTTCAATTGAACACTAATGTAGTCATTCTCACATATTACAAATAAAAAAGCTGTAACGAGTAAGATAATAAATGTTACTAGTACCTAACAACTGGGATCGATATGGCAGTCTAAATATTCATACAAGCACTAGTGACTAATGAATAATTACTAGTAAAATCAGTAAACGTTCCATCAACAACTGGAGAACATACTAAATGTATTCTTTGGGGAACTTCTTACTGGTATCTAATGAAGAGTTACTAACAAAATTGCAATAGAGACTCCTTGATAACTTACTAGTAATTACACTAATACTATAATATTACATTATATTATGCTAGTAGATACTAGCTAGTTTAACGCAGTGGTTCTTTACCAGGGGGCCCAAATATGTCTTGATTATATTAAAGTTATTTATATTAATATAATCGTAAAAAACACTAATATAAATATGTAAACATTTCACTGACAATATATTTTTGTTTCTTTTTTTACAATAAAAGCACCAGAGGTACATATCAGCTCAGAAGGGGCTTATTTTGCAAATATATTTCTAAACAAAGAGGGGCCTTGAATTCAAAAAGGTTGAGAACCACTGGTTTAAAGGAATATATGCTGAAGCAGCTTGCCGTTTATAGAGAACAATAAAACAACAGTGTGTGATAAAACAGTGCTCGATCTCTGAAAGAGACTGACAAGTGAGCTGTAAGACTGCACATCTTTACCATAGTACACTTCATTTACTGGACAGAATGCAGAGAGTGTCAACTAGCAAGGTGAAATAGCTAAAAAAAAAAAAAAAAAGGGACGTTTCCCCTCTCTCTCTCTCAGTCTCAATTCAATTCAAAATTGCTTATTGGCATGACTGTAAATGATTCAATATTGCCAAAGCTTAGTACACATGTACAAAAAGATAAAAAAAAAAAAAAATAATAATAATAATATAATAACAATAATAATAATAAGTAAATGAACATCACAGTAATATAATATAATATTATAACATCTTAGAAGTATTAAACTGTAACAAATTATAACATGTGAACATTTGATACCACAGTCTTTAACTTACATAGAAACACACATAAATACTTCGGATCACTGTGGTGGACAGTAGGGTAACACACTGAGGTCAGACACAACACACATTCACCTGCTGTCTCTCGCTC